AGGGAAGGGCACATCCCTGGGACAGCCCTGGCCCCACTCAGCTCCCTGTGCAGCCTCTCAGCTGATGGGAGCCCTGAGAGCCTGGGCAGAGGGGGCAGCAGGGGCTGGGAGGGCACTTGGCTACTTACCCCAGCCCCCTCTTGCACCGGGGGTTCTGCCCCTCGTTGTCCAGAGCTTCGGCCATCCCAGAGTTGTTGCTCCCCAGGCCCAGCCCCTCTGTCCAGCCCTGCTGCTCCAGGACCTTCCTGCCAAAGCCCTGGGAGAGGGGAGGAAACCATCACGCACCTGCTGGACAAATCCCACCCTCATCTTCCCACAGCCAAGACCTCTCCTCCTTCTAACCCACATCCCCTGGCACAGCCCTGCCCTGAGCAGGTGTGTCTCTCACCTTGGTGTGTCTCTCACCTTGGTGTGTCTCTCGAAGGTGCCAATGTGCTGCCCTGGCACAGAGCCATCCTCCAGCCCATCCCGCAGCCGCTGCTCCAGCCACATCTGCACCGAGTCCCGAGCATCCTTATCCCCTCCATCTGGGGAGAAAGCAGCCAGAGTCAGCACAGCTCAGCGAGGCTGCTCACCACCACCATTTCCCCCAGAGCACCAGCACAGGAGGCAGAACCTGTTCTATTTGGCAGCCCTTGTTGCCAGACCAGAAAAACATTGTTTCAGGTTCACTGATGGCTTGGCTGCTTTCAAAGAATGACAAAGAGCTCCCGAATTCTGCATGGTCAGAATTTCCCTGGTTTCCCTGGGCTGGGTGGCTCAGCTCTGATACCTTTGTCATAGTAGATGCTCATGTCCACGTCCCAGTCATCGGCTGTCTGCTCGTCAAAGTCTGCCAAGAGAAGGGAAACAGCAATTCTGGTGAGCTCTGGCCCTTCTGGGGAGCTCTGGCACTTCTGGGGAGCTCTTTGCTGGGGGCCCAGCTCCCTCTTTTCCCCAACAAAATGGGAAGGATTCACAGAATCATTGATTGGACCATTCAGTCCAACTGTGACCAGTTCCCACCTTGCCCCCAGCCCAGCCCACTGAGTGCCATGTCCAGTCCTTCCCTGGACACCTCCAGGGATGGGGACTCCAAACCTCCCTTGGCCTGAACACCCTTTCCATGAGGAAATTCCTCCTGGTGTCCACCCTGCCCTCCCCTGGCCCAGCCTGAGGCTGTTTCCTCTCCTCCTGTCCCTGCTCCCCGGAGCAGAGCCTGACCACCCCTGGCTGTCCCCTCCTGTCAGGGAGCACAGAGCCACAAGGGCCCCCCTGATCCCCCTTTTCTCCAGGCTGAGCCCCTTCCCAGCTCCAGCCCCTGCCCTGGGCACTGCCCAGCCCCTCTGTGTCTCTGCTGCAGAACTGGACACAGCACTCAAGGTGGTGCCTCAGCAGTGCCAGCACAGAGGAAATGGCTTCAGAGACTCCCCAAATCTCTCTGCCCACCCCAGAGGCTGCCAGCAGCACCACGGGGGTCTCTGGGGGGTCTCTGGTGACCAGCTCTGTGCCCAAGGGAAGGCTCAGAAGCCATGGCAAGCTCCAGCTGACCCGGGCTGCTTGTTTGAGCTCGTGGGCTCAGGGACACAAACACCAAAGTCACCTCCGTCCTGCTCCTGCCAGAACTGGGCATCTGTGTAGAACACGAGGCCAGAGCCTCCCTTCTCCCACTTGAGCTCGATCTCCTCCTCGAAGAGCCGCTCCCGCTCCCGCTGCTGCTGCGTCACGTCCTCGTGCAGGGCCTCGTGCCTCTCCCACTCCTCACACGTGTCATTGTCCTGCAGGGACAGGGACAGCCCAAATGGGGCTGGGGACACAGCCACGGCCCCCTCCCTGCTCCCTGAGCCTTCCCAACGCCATCCCTGGAGCAGCTCCGTGGCAGAGCCAGGCAGAGCTCAGGCCCCAACACGAGGGATGAGCTCATCCCTGCCTGAGGGCACTGCCAGAGTCAGCAGCAGAAATCCCACAGCACAGCCACCCCACAGGCCCCACCTGCCCTGCACTGATGCCCATTTAAGGAGCAGCTCTGTTGGACCTGGAGTCAGCACTAGCAAGGAATTAATTCCACTGCAGCTGATCCCTGAGGAGATTGCGTGGGCTCCCAGGAAGCAGCTCCCTGGCACAGCCACAGAGCTGCCTGCCCAGTTCTGGGCACAGCCATGAACCAGCCAAGGAACGGCTGCAGAGCCAGGAAACAGCCTGGGAGAAACAGCTGGAGGAGTCTGTTTAGTCTGCAGGAGGAAAGACTGAATAAAAAGCTGGGAAAAGGAGGGAACAAAGCGCTCTCTGTGCCCCACGCTGCCAGCAGAAACTCATGGGCTGGAATTGCAGCAGAGATTTGGCATCAGAGTTAATTCTGGTGGAGCAAAGAACGGGCCTGGCTTGCCTGGGGATCTGTAATGACAGAGGTTTGGGAGAACAGGCCAGACAGGCGTCTGCCAGGGACGGGGGGATGGCTCCTGCCCTGCCCAGCTCTCCAGGAGCGTTTGTCACAAAAGCCATTTTCCTCAGTGACTAAACTGCAAGTGCAGAGCATCCAAGGTCAGCCCTCTGTGCAGCTCTGCACGTCCCTCCCAGCACACAGACGTGGTCTCCAAGTTCTGTCACCTCATTTCCCAGCAAAGCAGAGCTGGGCCCATCTGCCAGGCAGCAGGGCAGGGGCTGCTGGGCAGCAGAAGCCTCCCCTTGCTCCTCCTCGGATCAGACCCTTTGGGATCAACCCCCACGACCACCCTGAGCAGCTGTGGGGGGTTCAGACCCCCCTGTCCCTGCCCCGAGGGGCTCAGTGCACCAAGGAGTGAACAGAGGCATTTTAAAGCTGTTTTTAACAAAACATTTCTCCAAACACGAGCTCTCAGAGTGGGATCTGCCCTCACAGCCCCAAGAGCTGAGCCTGGATAGTGCTGGAATATTCCACTTACATCATCAGAGTGTGACTCCTCTTCCTCCTTCTCCTGCCCCTCCTCATCCTCCTCATCCTCCTCGGGCCGGGCTGGCTGAGTCACGGGCTCCTCTCCCTCCATGATCTCATCCCCTGCAGCTGTGTAAACTCTTTCTTCCTCAGCAACCGTCTCGGTGTTCTGGTACTGGAAGGGCACATTCCCATACCTGCGGGATGAGCCAGTCCTTGGGAAATCCAGCTGCAGCTTCTGGATGACGCGGGGGGGCAGCCTGCAGGCCCGGATCAGCTCCAGGAACACGCTCAGGGGCGTGCCCACATTCCCAAAGGGCATGAAGGAAGGGGGGTTGAACTCGGGCAGGCGCCTCAGCTCTGCCTCGGTGACAGATCCCCCGGCAGCCGCCCTGTCCTGGCTGCTGGGAGCCACCTCGGGGCCTGCGGGAGAGAAGGGAGGGGTTTGGGGAGAGAAGGGATGGGTTTTAGGAGTGAAGGGATGAGTTTGGGGGGTTCAGGAGAGAAGGGATGGGTTTTAGGAGTGAAGGGATGGGTTTGGGGAGTTCAGGAGAGAAGGGAGGGGTCTGGGGGGTCCCACACCCCACCGGGGGTGGGTAAGTCCCGGAGCTCCCGACTGAGAGAGGGATCAGCAGACCCCACACGGGCTCTCCCTGCCTCGGAGCAGATTTAGCGCGTTAAGGAAACCCCACGGCGAGTTTTACCCTCCCGGTGCCCCGCGGGTGTCGTTCTAGGACCCCTGCCCGTACCTTTCCCGGCGCTCAGGCGGACCCTGCGGATGAGGCAGCGGCCGGGGAGGACGGCGCCGCCGGGCCCGACCCAGCGCTTGCCCGAGTACATGCGGACGAAGCGGCGGGCGCGGCCGGGCCGCACGGACACCAGGCAGGAGCAGGTGCGCGGCGCCGAGGCCCCGCTGCCGCTGCCCGCTGGCGGGCGCTCGGGGCGGTGCCGGTAGTGGAAGCAGAGGAAGCCGCCGGCCTCTAGGAACTGGCTGAAGTAAGAGCGGAGCTGCGCGGAGCGGAGCGCGGCCGGGATACCGCTCACCAGGCAGTACCGGGCCGCGCCGCCATCACCGTCGTTACCGCTGGACGCCGCCATCTTGGCCCGCCGGTTCCGGCGCGTGGTGATGACGTCACAGGCGACGGGTGCAGGGCGCCGCCTGGTGGCGGGGGAGCGGGCGGCAGACCGAGCGTCCTGAGGGGGTGACAGGGGACAGAGAGACCTGGGGAGTGACAGGGGAACAGAGAGACCTGGGGGGATCACAGGGGACAGAGAGACCTGGGGAGTGACAGGGGACAGAGAGACCTGGGGGGATCACAGGGGACAGAGAGACCTGGGGAGTGACAGGGGACAGAGAGACCTGGGGGGGTGACAGGGGACAGAGACTGGGGAGGTGACAGGGGACAGAGAGACCTGGGGAGTGACAGGGGACAGAGAGACCTGGGGGGGTGACAGGGGACAGAGACTGGAGAGGTGACAGGGGAACAGAGAGACCTGGAGGAGTGACAGGGGACAGAGACCCTGGGGAGTGACAGGGGACAGAGAGACCTGGGGAGTAACAGGGGACAGAGACACTGGGGAGGTGACAGGGGACAGAGACACTGGGGAGTGACAAGGGACAGGGACAGGGAGACCCCATTTGGGGGGGTTTAACGGGCCCTGGGGGTGGCAGGGCTTGGCCAGACCCTCAGGGGGGTCACAAAATCTGAGGGTCACAACCCCCGGGGGGTGTCCGGGCTGCCCGTCCTCATCCTGTGCCCTGGCAGTTGGTGAGTCATGGCAGGACAGTCACACCTGGATTTTTATGGACAATCCCTTTTCATCCCATTCTCTCTTTTCCGTGCCTGCAGTTTTTTCTGCCTGCCCCAAATTCAAACACCGTCACTGAAAAGGCACCACCATGTTCCAAAACAACAAACATTTTATTAAAAAAATAATTTATTGCATCTTATATACAAACCAAACAAATGTCCACTTATAAAATACTGACACCTCACCAGCTGGAGGCAGCAGGAGCGAGTTTTCCAGGTGTGCACCTGGCTCTAACTCCAGGGAGGGAGGTTTGGATCTCCCACTAAACCAGCTCTGCTCCGGTTTAACTTTTCACACAGACAAGAAAGCCCTGAGCCACAGATGAAGTGCAGTACGTTTAGGTGCTGCTAAGTGCTCTTAATCCTCTTGTATTTCATGGAATTATGGAGCAAAGAGAGAATCTAAGGAAAAGAGGGGTGAGTCTGTACACCCTGTAGGACTTTTCCCTGAAGAAATTTCCTGAGTATTTCTACGATTCCAAGCACGGAAGCCAGACCCAGAGTTAATTCCATGTTTGCTCTCTGTCAATGATCCCACTGAGGCAGTCAGACACCACGGGATCGAGCTGAGGACAACCCTCACTGCTTGGAGCTCACAGCAAAATGAGTAAAATCTGAGACCAGGGCAGGGAACCCCTCGCCCTCACACCCTCCCTGGATTGGAGAGCGGCCCAGGCGGAGCAGGAGCTGGCTACAATCTGCTGAGCCACAGCCGCTTCCCCAGGGATCCTCCAGTGGAACACAGAGCTCCTGCAGAGCCCAGCTCAGCGGGGCAGGGGCAGCCACGGCGCCTGGGGCCAGCCCGTCACCTCGAACAGCATCTCCACCAGCAGCTGCCCCATGGCGGCGCCCCCGATGACGGGCCGGAAGAACAGGTCGGTGACGAGGCCGGCGGGGATGGATCTCAGGGAGGAGCTCACCCGGAGGATGCGGGAGAAGCGAGCCTGGTCCTCGGGGTGCAGCAGCTCCCGCAGCGCCCGCTGCGCCTCCCACTGCAGGCTCTCGATGTACAGGGGAGCCCTCAGCCCGGGGATGTCTGTGAGGGACAGGAGAGAGGGAGGTGAAGGATGGGAACAGCTCCAGGTTTCTCCCATTCCCACCCTTCCCCATTCCTCAGGAGGCTGCACTAAGGAGATGCACACAGGGGCTGAGGGGTAGCTGTTCCAGGGAAAGCACTGAACAGGGAAAATCCTGCTTTAAAAATCCTGATTTACAAGTAAAGGAACCCAGGATTTATTATCTGCAGGGCAGGCAAAGGCTTTGTCATCTTTTCTTCCTGCATTTGGGAATGACCAGAGTTAGGGGAAAAGGTGACCAGCCCTCCCTGCTCTCACACCTGCCCATCTCTGAGTATCTCCAAGCCACGAGCTCTGTGTTCACTCTGGGATGCCCTGATCCTGTGTCCAGCTGCCAGTGCTGGCCAGCAGAGCCACGAGGGCCTGGCACTCACCTGGATTGAAGAGAATGGCTCCCCTCAGGTAGGTGTACTCATTGGGGCTCAGGTCCAGCCTCCAGAAGCTGTTGAGGCACCACTGCAGGCGCTGCACGGCCGCCAGCGTGGGCTGTGTCCCCTCGGGCTCCTGCCCTTTGCTCTGGCCGCTGAGCAGGATCTTCTTGAGCATGCTGGGGGCCGGGGCCTCCATCACCTCGAAGGTCACCATCTCCTGCACCAGCCCCAGCAGGAACAGGGGCACCCAGCAGCTGTGCAGCAGCAGCAGCTGATCCTCCCGTGGCAGCAGGTGGAAGGCAGCCACGTTCTTCATGAAGTTGATGGTTTTGACGAGCACGTCGGAGGCGGCCTGGCAGGTGAGGTGCGGCGTGCGCAGGCACACGGCGCGGCGCTGCCGGCACAGGCACTGCCGGGCCCCGCCGGGCCGCCGCTCCTGGCTCAGCAGGGAGTACAGGATGGCAGGCTGCTTGTCCTTGCCGTGGCACTGGCACCTCTCACACCCCGCGTCCACGCTGGTGTTCATGGCTGAGCCAGCTCCTCGTCCAAACCCAGCTGGAGGGAGAGAGACGTAAAATCCCTTCCGAAATCTGTCACGGGCCGGATTGTCCCCGTCCTCCCAGCTCTGGCAGCCCGTGGTGCTCCAGCCAGCTCTTATAAGGCCAGGTCACAGTGAACACCCCTCCGCAGCCTTGACCGCCCTGATTAAGCAGCCCTCATTAAAACCACCCGACCAACCCCGTTGTTGCTGGGCTGATTGGCCGGGCCAGGCGAGTTCCCGGCGTGGCCAACGGCCGTTTTCTCAATGAATCGGCGCGGGAGGGGTTGTGTGGCCTTATCAGGATTACCCAAAGAGGATAAACAGAGTCATTACCCCAGGCTGTACCATGGCACCAAGGCCCCACGGAGCAGGTGTCGCTGCCAGGGTTCACAGACAAACACAGGGCGCTCGTCTGGGCCTGGCGTTCAATGGCCCCGGCGCCCGGCCTTGGGAAGAGCAACCTGGAAGTTGTGTTATCAGCGGCTGTTTGCCTGGCCTTGATCAGGAGCCTCTTGTTGTGGTGGGGGAAGAGGAACTCGGTGAACTGGCAGGCTGTGATGGGCCCAGGGCTCGTGTCTCTCCGAGGAAACACAGGCAAAGGGAAAATGCTCCCATTTGCAGAATGAAAATTAAGGGGAAAAAGCCAAAATTCTCGTATTTTCCCAACAGAAAGGGACCCAGAGGTGCTGGTCGACAGCAGCTGAGCATGAGCCAAAGTGGGCAATGAGTGTTCAGGTGACATTGATGAGGCAACCCAAATCCCGGGACCACTTCTGAGCCCCTCACTGCAAGCCAGAAATGGAGCATGTCCAGAGAAGGGAACGGAGCCCTGGAGCAGCTGAGGGAGCGGGGCGGGAGCTCAGCCTGGAGAATGGGAGGCTCGTGGGGCTCAGCCCGGAGGGAAGGAGGCTCGGGGGGGCCCTTCTCGCTCCCAGCTGCTGACAGGAGGGGCCGGGCCCAGGACCCCGCTGCCTTCAGGGCCCGTCTCCATAACAACCCCGCCGCGCCTCGCGCCCCGCCTCCCCCTGCAAGACTGACAGCCCGCGCGACCAATCAGCGAAGAGATCGGCGCGGGGGCGCGCTGTGATTGGCGGGTGGGGAGGGGCCGGCGCCTCCGCCGGTTCCGGTTCCGGTTCCGGTGGCGGCCCGGTGCGGGAGCGGCGGCGCGATGGGGCTGAGCGCGGAGGAGGCGGCGGAGCAGGAGGATCGCTTCGACGGGATGCTGCTCGCCATGGCCCAGCAGCACCAGGGCGGCGTGCGCGAGGTAGCGCCGCCGGCATCGGGAGCGGGGAGGGCGGGGCAGAACCGGAGGAGCGAGCGGGGAGCGGCGCGGCCTCCGCGGGCTCCGCCCCGGCACGTGGGGCAGGGGACGCACGTGCACAGCTCCCGGAGCGGCCATAACGGCTCCCGGCAGCGCCAGCTCCGCTCATTAATTAGTGTCCTGTTAATGAGGCGCTGCGGCGCCCTCGTCGAGGTCTCGCACCGCGGCCCCGCGCCTCCCCGGGCTGTCCTGAGCCCCCTCCGGGCTGCCCGGAGGGCTCCGGGTGCGCGGGCAGTGCCTGTGATGGGTCACAGCGGGGTAAAACACACCGAGCTCCCCCGTTCACCCTCCTGGCACAGCCCCGTGAGGCCTGGCCGTGACCGTGGGATCCCCCCGTGCTCGGGGATCTGCTCACCCACCCCGATCCCACCCCGGGGCCTCTGGCTGGGGGCTCCGGGATGCATGTACTGACCTGCAGCAGGGCTGGAGGGTGTGGGAACACCCCACTCACCAATAATTTCTTTAAAATGCTCCTGTAACTGTCCGTGTTGTGGCAAAACCTCTGCCTGAAACCCCCATGGAACAGGATTCCTGGAAAATAAAGATCAGCCAAGTTCAGGGGGATTTGGGGTTTCCAGAGGGGGTTTGGAGGTATATATATATATATGTATATATATGGGATATAGGTAGGTATGTATGCATGCATAAATCCATTGCTGCCTCGGGTAACAGCTTGGGCTATGGGAGCAGGAGCTCAGAACAAACTGCTGCCTTTTTTCAAGCAAACCACACCGAGTCCTCTCCTGCAGCTGGCAACCCAGGGCTCTCCATCTCCACAACGAGTGCTTTCTTCAGGGGCTGATCCCGGGGCACAGCGACAGGCAGGGAGGGCAAAGAAAAAAGGCTCCAGAAAAATCAGTCCTTGCACACGAGGTGGCTCTGAGTGACCTGGGCTCACTGCTCCTTTTGTCTCCACCCTCTCTCCCTGTTCCCCAGCTCGTGAACACCTTCTTCAGCTTCCTGAGGAGGAAGACGGATTTCTTCACCGGGGGAGAGGATGGAGTGGCAGAGAAGGTAAAAATTAAACCTTCAGGTCTTTAACTCTTCTCCCTTCCATCCCACCCGGGTCTGTGCCATGCCAAGGGTCCTCTACTTGAACAGCTCTCAGTTGGGAGTAGCAGCAGCTCCTCAGGGAAGGAAAGCCAGAGCTGCCCTGTCAGAGGTGAGGAACACACAATTCCCTGCTCAAGTGGTCCCTCAGTGCAGGTTTCTTGCCAGGCTCTGGCCAAAGGCTAGTTTGGAGAGCAAACCTGCCAGACACACTGACTTAGCAGTGCCACAGCAGTGATAACCCCATGTTACCTTGTTTGTTAGCTCAGGAGAAGCACAAAGTCCACAGCTCTGCACATGCAGCTGCCCCTGGGCTGGGGAGCCTGGACACTGCTCCCCTGTCCTGCAGGGAGCCCTTGCTGAAACTGGAGGGGCTTTGGGGTTCTTTCACCCCAAAGCATCCTGTGATTCTCTGAAGGGAAGAAAGGTGAACCCTGCTGTCACTTTTCTCAGAATAGAGAGCAGCTCTCCCCCGTTCCTGGAGGCTGTGTGACCCCACCTGAGTGGCAGCTCAGAGGTGCCTGGCTGCTGTCCTTGGCAGTCTGTGCCTGTGGAAGAAAAGGGTTCGTGCCCTTGGGTGGTGGCATCTGTCAGAATGCTTTATGGGCTCTGACACCATGGGAACCACAACAAACGGGGAAAAAACTGCTTCCCCAGAGCTGCTGAGCCCTTGGCATGAAAGAGAAAGGAGAAGGGGGCAAAGTCTCTGCATTTTTTGGGTGCCATTTCAGCAGGCTCGTGGTGTGGGTGGGGTGAGGGAGGTGTGGGCAGTGGCATGGACAAGGTCAGGCAGTGAAGATAATTTCCTCACCGTGGATCACGGGGCTGGGAGCAGGCTGGGCCATCCTGGGGGATGCACGCTTTGCATTCTGTTCTCCAGGAGACGCTGGGGCCGAGCTGAGTAAACAATCCTTGCTGGCAGAGCAAAGCAGAAATACTCAGTGCTTGCTTACAAACTACAGTTTGCTTGGAAAAGGATCAGGATTTCCCCCCCACTCTGAGGCTCCTGGGATGTATATAAATAAATTTCTCCCTCTAATTCCTTTCTGAGGATCTGTTATTTTCTGGGGCAGACCTCAGCTCACCTACGTGCTGCTCTGCACAGCGCCCCTGCCCTTATCGACCCTGGGGCAATTCTCTGGCTCCCTGCCTGTGTACTCAGCTTTCCCACTGAGCACTCAGCCCTTGGCATCAGAGACCTTGGGCTTTTGAGTCACAACAACCTCTGGAGAATTGGGAGCGAGGCTGAAAGAAGAGATTTGTGGAGGAGCTCACCCCTCAGTGTGAAAACATGGGGGTGTTTTGAGCATTTCTCTAAATCATTGCACTGAGGCTCCGCCTGGAGAAAAGCCCAGGCATGGGAAGGGTCAGAAGGAAGTAAAAAAAGTTGGCTCTGGTGTGTGCAGCTGTCCTGGAGCAGCTTCACATGGCTGGGCTGGGCATCAGCTCATCCTGCTGGAATTGCACAAAGGACAAAATCAGTGGAGGATTTTTATTTTACTGTTATGTCCTAGAACCATACTCCCTGTGTAACTAGGAAGGACTACGTTTAAATACTTACATTTTCTCTTTTTCCTCCCTTTTCACTTCCTCCTTTGCTTTTTGAATTGAAAAATCTCTAGATTTTCAGTAAAAAAAAAAAATCTAAGGGAAGGGAAAACTCCCAACATCTGTGTGACTCCTCCACAGCTGTCGCGGTGCTCGTCAGGAGAGCGAGTTGCTGGCTTTGGGTGTGAGGTGCTGATGTTCCTGTGCTGTTCTTTCCCCCCTCAGCTGATCACAGAGGCCTTCAGCCACCACAACAAGCTGGCCCAGAAGGAGCGCAAGGAGAAGAAGGCGCGGCTGGAGGCGGAGCGGCGCGAGAAGGCCGAGCGAGCTGCTCGCCTGGCCAGGGACAGGGACAGGGACAGGGCCAGGGACTCGCAGCAGCCCAGCGAGCCACGCATCAAGGAGCTCACAGATGAGGAGGCAGAGAGGCTGCAGCTCGAGATCGACCAGGTGAGAGCCGAGCCAGGGGTGTGCAGGTGCAGCTTTGTCTGGGAGGGCTCAGGTTTGTTCTCTGTGCCCGTGGGAGCACGAAGGGAATTTTCCCTTGGCAGTGCCTGTTCCCTGTAAGTGTCCTAAGGGCTGGAAATTCAGCGTTCAAGGGGGATGCAGTGAGTGCTGCTCTCCAGCTGAGGCCATCTAGTGCCAGCTCAGGAGGTGACACAAATGGCAGCTCTTGGCTGAGCCTGTTCCTGCTCTGCTCTTTTCCAACAGAAGAAAGAGGCACAAGGGCAGGGCAATGGTGTCCCAGTGAAACCCTCGGAGGAGGAAGGTGAATCTTCAGATTCCAACAAACAGGTAAAACTCGTCTGGAGACACTTCAGAATCATGAAATGGTTTGGGTTGGAAGGTTGAAGCTCATCCCGTTCCACCCTCTGCCATGACACCTTCCACTACTCCAGGTTGCTCCAAGCCCCGTCCATAAGACACACTTGGAAAATACAAATTAGGACCTTTGGCTTTAAAAACACACAATTCCTTAATGTGCCAATACAGAGGGCTTTAGGATATTTTTCTTGTAGCAGTCTTTTACCAGAAGCAGCTATTAATTATGGAGCTAAATTTAAGTGGATATAAAATACAAATAACTGACCTGCAATCCTTACAAAACCTAAGAATGTTATATTCATACATACAAAAGCTTCTTTCTTTACACTTGACTTGCTTAGGGAACAGATGATGAAGAGGAAGATGAGAAGGATAAAGGAAAACTTAAACCCAACTCTGGCAATGGAGCTGACCTTCCAAATTATAGATGGACACAGACTCTTTCAGAATTGGATGTAAGTAGTGCTTTGTGACCAGGATCTGAGGAATCTGAGACAGGGAATAAGAGCAGGGGCTGGTAAGAGATGAAGCCAATTCCCTGTGGCTGGAAGTCTGAATGTTTCAATAGCTGGGAGAGAGCTTGGTAACTCAGTAAAATTCCCAGGAGCTGTAGTTTGCCAAGTTCTGGTCTTGGTTTATCCAGGCATTAAAATCTGCTTCCCTTTTTATGGTCCCTTCCTTCCACCTCCTGCTCGCTCAGTACCTCAAGGAAAAGAGTCCCAGAGTCCCTGCTCTGCCTGGCTCTGGTGAAAGCAAGGCAGAAAGGCTTGAACAGCTGCATGGGAGGGTAAGGAGGAATTTTCCCTGGCCTGCTCCTCAGATCTGCTCCTTTCTGCTGCAGCTGGCTGTGCCCTTCAAGGTGAGCTTCAGGCTGAAGGGCAAGGACGTGGTGGTGGATATCCAGAGACGCCGCCTCAAGGTCGGCCTCAAGGGCCACCCTCCTGTCATTGATGGGGAGCTCTTCAACGAGGTCAAGGTGGAGGAGAGCTCCTGGCTCATTGAGGATGGCAAAACAGTCACTGTGCACCTGGAGAAGGTAAAGCAGGGTGGGCTGGGCAGGATTCTGGCTGGGCTGCCCCTCCTGGGCCCTCAGCTCGCACTGGCTGTCCTGGGTACCTTGTCAGTGGTGCCACTGGTAGTGGGGTATTGAAGTTCCCCCATCTTTAGCCTCATTTTATGCTATTCCAGGATATCCAGTGTATTTCTCAGCAGCTCAGGAAAAGCTGGAAGGAAATCAGTCATTCTAATGTTGTCCTTTAGTGTGTTTTGACATCTGTTAGTGACACGAAAATCCAGGAACAGACCTCCTTGTGTCCCTTCTTGTGTCCCCTCTGGGCCTCTCCAGGTGGTTTGTTCTAATCCCATTTGTGTCATGCCAAACAGGACATCTGACATTCTCTCAGATCTCCCAGCTGTGAAAATTTAGGCTGCCTAAAGTAGTTTGAAATAAAAATACCCTTTATCTATGTTCAGATTTTACTGATCTTTAGAAAACTGTCAAATAAAGTTTGATTCCATCTTTTTTTTTTTCCCTGTGACTGAGACTTAAAAACCCTAGAACAAGTCCAAGAAAGATAAACTTGTTTTTGCTTCTTCGTCCTCTAGATCAACAAAATGGAGTGGTGGAACAAACTGGTCTCCACAGACCCAGAAATCAACACCAAGAAAATTAATCCAGAGAATTCAAAGGTAAGAATTCTTCAGTTTCCTGGGGTGGAACCTGCTCAGAAATTACCTCAGCTGAGGCCAGAGTTGTTCCAATCCGGGTCTTGCTTTCAGTTGTCAGACCTGGACAGTGAAACTCGCAGCATGGTGGAGAAGATGATGTATGACCAACGACAGAAATCCATGGGGCTGCCCACCTCTGATGAGCAGAAGAAGCAGGATATTTTGAAAAAGTGGGTACAGCTCATTCCTTTGCATGGCTTTGCCTTCCCAAGCACCTTCTCCTCTTCCTCTCTGGCACAAATAAGGGCACAGGGAGCAGCTTGGCCTTCAGTCCTAGCCAAGCTCACATCTGCACAGTCACTGGGTTTTGGCCAAGCACCAGTGTCTGTAAAAGCCTGTGAGGGTAGAAAGCCCAGTGGGAAAATCTGGGAATAGCTCAGCTCTGGAATTGTTGATTACAACAATTGAAATCTGCTGATTTCAAGTCCAGAAGGCACGTTCAGAACTGGAGGTGCCATCTCTGCTGAACTTTATCATGCTCTTGATTGGTGTGTAATCTCCTTCAGTAGCCAGTTAATCACCCCTCCCTTCCTCCCTCCACTTGCCCCCAGACTGTTTTCCCCAAGCCACTTTTATGGCTTTATTGCCCTGTTTGGCAAAAATGCACTGTGGCAGGGAAGTGACTCCTGGAGCTGTCAAGGCCGTTTGGGAAGGTGTGGAGGCAATTCTGGGTCACAGCTTCTTCAGCAAGTGCAGCCCCACACTTTATCTCTGGGTGAAGGATTGCTGTGGCTGATCTGACTCCTTGCTTCCTCTGGTTTTATCTGTAGTGCCAGAAGCTTCTCTGTGCAGCTGCTGGGGTTTGACAGAGCAGAGCCCAGGCTTCCCTCTGCTCCTGGGATGCCAGGACACCTCACTGGCAGGGTCACTTGTTTGGTGCTCTGGAAGTTTGGCTGGCAGAGGATGGAGAGGAAGTTTAGACTTTGTCCAGGGCAAAGGAGACTCAGTGACACCCATGTGGGTGCTGATGTCAGTGGAGCTCTCCTGGCTGCCAAACAAGGACATGATCCTCACAGCGCGGGTGGCCCTGGAAGTGCAAAGTGGAAACGCTGTGGGGGCGTTCCAGGGGAAGCCCTGAGATGGGAACACAAAGGAGACCAAGCTGCCCTTATCTGCACCTTGTGTGAGTCCTCCACAGGCTGGGATGTGCTGTGTCCCTTGGGGAGCAGAGCAGAGGAGCCTCTGTGTGCCCTGGGCACAGAGCAGTGCCCTCAGAACTTCCCCGTGTGGAACCTGAGTCCACACAGTCCTGGCAGGTGTCCCTGCCCACGGCAGGGGGTTGGAACACGATGATCTTGAGGGTCTCTTCCAACCCACAGCATTCTGTGATTCCCTCTGCTGGGACTGCAGTACATCTGAAATCAGGTTTGAAACAGATTGCTCTGGTCATGTCCTCCCCGAGTGTTTAGTGCCAGAGCACTTCCCCATATTCCCAGTAAAGCTGTCAGGCTGGAGCTCCAGCCCTAATCTGCCTTCACCATCTCCCCTCTGCCCCACAGTCGCTGCTGCTACGTGTCCAGCCCGGAGTAACAGTGAAGGGCGTGTCCTCGATCTTTAGCAGCTCCCCTGTGTCTGGACTTGCTGACCTGCTGGGCTGGCAGGAATGCTGCTCCCACTGACCCCAGGAAAAGGTGTTTGTAGGGAAGGTGCAGGGAATGTGTCCCACGGGGCTCAGCAGAACTCCAGAGTGCAGGGAGCAGAAACCCTTCCCTCCCCAGACAGAGCTTGGCTCCTGCTGACCCACCCAAACTCTTGCTTTGTTTTCCTTGCAGGTTCATGGAACAGCATCCAGAAATGGACTTTTCAAAGGCTAAATTCAACTGAGCTCTCCCACTCCCTCCCCCTTTCAGCCAGCCCATTGAATGGGGCAGGATGTATGGTTGGAAATTCCTCACCTTGGGCAAGTAAAACTTCAGCATCCCCCACCCGAGCTTGCTGTGGAGGCACCTGCACAGAGTCACCTCAGGGTCCTGTGGAGCAGCTCCAGACAGAGCCACCTGCCACAATTCCCCAAGGGCAGCGAGGAGAGAAGGAGGGGTTAGAGCCAAAAGGGGTGCTAGGGCTGAGAGAGCCAGACCTGAGAGGTTCTGGGATAAATCCTTGAGGTATTGCTTTGCTTCCCTGGGCTGCTCAGAGCTGCTCCTCTGCTCTGCCACTGGCACAGGAACTCCCGAGTTCTGCTCCCTCCTGCTCTCCTGTGAAAAACAAGGGTCAGTTGATTTTGTAAAATAAATTTGTTTCTGCCTTCTTGGGAAGGGAAAGCAGCAGTTGGAAAGCACAGCTCCTGCAATGGAGACAGACCCTGCTCCTGTTGGTGCCAGAAGTGACAGCTGGAGCACTGCAGGGCTCCCAGCACAGCTGGACAGGGCAGCCTGCTGTCCTAGAGCAAGGAGAGAGGCTGCAGGGGCTGTGGCTGTGGGTGGGAGAGGATGTGGGGGGCTCTGGGGATGCTGCTGTTGCTGGGAGTGTCCCTGCCTCTTCTCCAAGAGCCTCTCTCCCTGCTGACGAGTGGGATCACTCTGCATGTTCATGTCTTTGTTAAAACTGCAGTGCAACATAAAGGAAAACAAGTGGAATGTGTGAGGCAGAGGTGTGGTTTCTCTGGCAGAGGGGAAGGAAGGGGTGCCAGGAGCTGCTGGGGTCCCTGTGGGCACCTCTGATGCTCCCAGCTCAGCACTGATGGTCTCTCCCTCCCGCAGAAGTGGCCGTGGGAGCTGGGTCTTGCTCAGGACAGAGCTGAACCCAATCCCCAGCTTAAACCCTGAGCTCGGGGTGGCTGCTGCAGGCTCTGCTCCCACAGAGCAGCCCGTGACCACTCCTTGGCCCAGGTCTCCTTTAGGAGCCAGCAAGGAGAGTGTCAGGAAATGCTGGGCTCTGTCCCAGGTCCCTGCTGCTCTTCCCTCTCCCTTCCTCCCCCAAACATTTCCACCTCCTCCCCGAGGGATGGGCACGAACGGCTGGAAATCCTGTCTGGGCAAAGTCCGGCCTGGTGGGGTTGTTTTTTGAGCACGGTTTGCTTGAAGTCTCAGTTTTACAGGCTCTTGGGGTTAAAAAGCACTCCCCACCCAGCACAGCAGTGACCTTGAGGGTGAGCAAAGCACCCAGATGGGGGCAGTTAGTCTTACAGATCACCTACACACACCTCCCTTCACCTCCCTTCACCTCACACACACCTCCCTCCACCCTTCACACACCTCCCTTCACCCTTCACACACCTGCCTGTCTGTGTTTAGGCCCTGATTAAATAACAGCATCCCCTATTTTCGTTTAAAAAGCTGAACTGTGCTGGATTTGAAGGTTTTGGCCCCAGAATGAGCTACCTGCCTGTGTGCACTGGGCCCTGCTTTGTGGGACAGGTGAGCTGGGAGGGCTGAGCTGCTCTGGAGTGTGTGATGAGCCTCACCCCATCCCAGCTCTGTCAGTGCTGCAGCTGCTGCAGCTGGGGGAGCAGGGCCAGAGCCTGCACCTGCAGCAGAGCCTGCACCTGCAGCAGAGCCTGCACCTGCAGCAGAGCCTGCATCCTGCCACCAGCCCCTCCTCAGGGACAAGCACGGGCAGGCACCAGGCCAGCCATAAACCAGCAGAGTCCAGGCACCACCCCAAGCCCAACCTGTGGCTTTGTTCTTTCCCCGTTTCCTGCTCAGCCCTGATCCCACAGCAGAGCCCCGAGCCTGCTCTGGCAGCTCCTGGCTCTGGGAGCACGGTGGGAGCAGCAGTCCCTGCCCTTTGGAGGTGCAGAGCTCCCTCAGGGCTCCCAGGACCCTGGGGCTCCTCGGTCCTCAGGGGGGTCGTGGCTGGTGACAGCTGAGAAAAAAGAGAAAAGGCAGTGCCAGGAACCCCAGGGAAGCTGGGGAGGGATTTTGGGAGGAAGGAGTGGCTGGGAGAACGGGGCCATGGCTGTGGCCTGACCCCAGGGAGGAGGTGAACGCCCTGGCCGTGTTTGTGAACCCTGGCTGATCCCAGAGCTGCCCCTGGACTTCGGCTCCTGGGCCAGCGGAACAGAAGGTGTTTCACTGCTGGCCTTGTCCCCTGCAAACATCCCTGGCCACCACTTTCCCCAGGCCAACTGGAACTGGGAGCACCCTTCTGCTTCCCCCAGGATAAACCCTGCTGGCTCCAGGCTCGAGGGTTGAGGAATGCAAAGCCCCACCTCAGTCTGGGTCACAGAGCGTGGCCTCGTCCTTGTGCCCACGGCAGGGAAAGGCTGAGCACCACCAGGAGTGCTGGGACCAAACCATGCACACACATCAAAAACACATCAAAAACACATCAAAAACACATCAAAAACACATCAAAAACATCCCTGCCGTGGTGCCTGAGCCCCAGCAGAGCGGGGAGGGACAGGGACAGGTCACCAAGCTCCTTTTGCCTTTCCTTACCTGTGCCAGCTCACCTGGAGCAGGGACAGGGACAGGTCACCAAGCTCCTTTTGCCTTTCCTTACCTGTGCCAGCTCACCTGGAGCAGGGACAGGGACAGGTCACCAAGGTCCGTTTGCCTTTCCTTACCTGTGCCAGCTCACCTGCAGATGCTGTTTCAGTGCTGCCACCAGCCGGAGGGCAGAGCCCAGAGCTCTCACCTGCCCAGGGCTCCTCCCCACCTCCTGTAAAAGCCTTTGCAGGCACAGCAGGCTCTGCAGAGAGCTTTCCTAAGAATAATGTTTTCCTCAGTCGTTTGGGGTTTTTTCCTTAACAGCAGCTCCTGGTTTAGCTTTTATTAATGAATATTGCAGCTCAGAGCATTTGGGAAATATCCCAGACTCCAGGACTGCTTTGGGAAGAGCAATGGAACTGCAAAAGGCCAAGGAAGGGAACAGGAGCAGCGAGTATTGGATGTTTCTGTGTAGTTTTAGGAGAAGCCTGAGCTGCTCTGTTACTGCAAGGGCCAGGCTGTGAGGAATTGGGGTCCATCCATCTGCTTCCTCATGCCTAAGCCACACTGAAATAAATAATTCAGCAGGTCAGGGTGTGGATGTGGAGAGGAATTTCTTTAACATTCCCTGCAGAGCTCCTGAGCTTCCCTAACTCCATCCCAGGGAACTGTGGGCAGGACAGGGATCCCTCTGAGGACCCTCTGGAGACTCTCCTGGCAAAACCAAGCCCAATAAAACCAAACAAACAATATGTTCAGGAAAAGCCAGGTGCTGAGTCAGGCTCCCAGAAGGAAGCACCTGTGGCCAGGTAAAGGCTCTCGTGTTTGGGAGGTCTCCACTTGGGCAACCCAGTCAGACCCCTCACAGAACACTCAGCACTAATGCTCAGAGCAAAAAACCACCCCAGCAAGACCAAGACAGCTCCATCCACAGCAAACAACTTCGTGCAGACAAAAACCCCGGGGATTCATCCCGTGTGAGCAAGGAAAGCCAGGCAGCAAACAAAGGGAGCTCCTGAACAGCACGGGGCTGACAGCCCCCACCCAGCTGCTCTGAGGGCTGCAGACACAAAAACATCCCCAGAGACCCTGCCCAGCCAAGAGAAGGCAGCATTTACCTGTGCATGGCTCTGAAATCCTCCCAGCAAACACATCCAGGTCTGTGCACCAGAGGGAAACCCCCCAGGCCACCTGCCAGGAATGGAGCCCTGCAGGTTATCCTGGGATCTGCTCTGAAATTGGGGAGTGCAGAACTGGTCCTTCAAGTCCCAGGGTCAGAGGCTGGGCCTCCCTCCCTGAGCTGATCCTGCACAGCAAACCCCACCTTTGCTGCCACGAGCTGGTGACATCACAGGGACAAGGTGGAAATTCTGCCCCTCAGGCTCAGCTTTTCCAGAGCTCAGCTCCAGCATCACCACCCAGGGAAGGTCCAGGTTTCCCAAACACTTCCCCAGAGGCTCCCCCTGGAGCTACCAAATGGATGAAAATTTCTTTCTCCATCTGGGGCAGCAGGAATCAAACCCCACCCCAGGATCCCCAAGCTGAAGGAAACAGGAATGTAAAAGTCACAGCACAGGTAAAGAGCACAACTTTTACTTTATAAAAAAGACCAAACCAGAACATTTAAGACCAATGAGTGCAAAAGAATCCCATAAGACACCACAGGTGAACCAGCTTCAGGGACCATCGAGCTGACAGTCTTCCTTAGTGAGTTTTTGGGGGGCTTGGGGTTTTTTTTTGCTAGTTTAATCCACACACACTCACTCTTCACACCCAGACTAGACACTAAAAATGTGTTTTTGCTCGTTGCAAGTCCAGCTCACCCCTTGTCTCCAAAGCACAGCCCACAGAGCCGTGTCAGTGTGACCCAAGTGACACCTCAGCACAGCTTGGAGGAAACTTGTCCAAATCACAAAGTACAAACCCAGGAGAAGCAGGAGCCAAGCAGGTCCCTCAGGACAGGCAGCACTGGGAAGGAGGTGACCTCACACAGCTCCCCTGGGAGTCCCAGCCTGGCCTTGCTTCAAGTCTTTGCCTTGTATAAACTCCACTTCTCATAAACCAACAGCTTTAAACACAAAGCAGGGAGTGGGAGCCAAATCCAAGGCTCAGTCTCTTCCCTTTATCTTCGAAATATCTCTGTCAGTGTCTCCAGGTGTGGTCTCAGTAATGCCCCTGATTTCTGGAAGCACACTCTGAAAAAAGCCAGTGGTTTACAAAACCAGGCTCTAACAGCGACTGGAACTGGAATTTCAAAGGGTTTTGGCCTTTTAAAGAAGCCTGAGAGCTTGTGAGAGGAATTAAATCCTTCCTTCCTGCCCAAACCTCTGAAGAGCAATCACAGGCTATAAAATAAAGGCACATTTCAGTTCAATTAAGGCACATTTCAGTCCAACTGAGGCACAAAACCATGGTCCACACCAAAACCTGGGGCCTACTTGGGCTTCCCTCTCCCCAAAATCCAGTGGGTGTGTTTATCCTGTGGCTGGTGAATTCAATGAAGTGTTTTCTGCTCTTGTCCAAGGGCATCCAAATCTCCAAACAAGTCCCACGGCTCGCTGTGTTTACTCTGTGACAAACAACCAAGTGGCAACAGCACAGATGCAGCTTCCTCCTGCTGCAGCCCTCAAGGGCACCTGGCACCGTGCCCTGGGGACAGCAGTGCCCATCTCCTGCTTCCCCCTGCCTGCTGGAGGTGCTGGCTGCCAGCAGTGCCTCCCAAACCCTCTGCAGACACTCTCAGGGGCCTCTCCTTTTGAAGAAAAGCACGTGGAAGGGATTTTGTAGCAGAACACTCGAACAGTTCTGAACCACAAGAAGTTAGGGGTGAGCCAAGTGCTCCCCTCACCTGCACAGGGCCACTCCAGGCTGTCCCAGGAGGGCTGGGCAGAGCAGGGAGGGAGAGCTGCTGGCAGGCAGGTCCCAGTGTGTGCTCCCCAGGATTCCCAGCAGGCTGGCAGAGCTGATCCCCGTGGATCCCCCAGCGAGGCCACAAATTAAATGAACCTCACAAGGCAACAGGAGGTGACACCAAGGGCCAGCAGGGAAAGGCAGATCTGGCTACTGAAAACACCGTGGGTAGAAAACTTTGGGGTTGTGGGACCAACACAGGCACTTTAAATAGAGATTTGGGTCCTTCCAGGGCAGGAGCTCAGCCTGCACCTCAACATCAGCACCAGCACAGACACCACAGTCATTCCCTACCCAAGTTCACTTGGGCAGTGCCAGGAAGCAGGAACTGCACCACAGGGAAAGGGCTGAGCCACTGAGGCTGCTGGAGCTAAATGGGATTTACAGGATCACAGACGCACAAGACATCTGCTACTTCCTTGTCCATCTTCTCCTCCCTGGGCACACATTCCACCTCCCAAGTTCATCAGATTTGCAGTTTCCTTGATTGTCCAAAAAAACCAAAACATCCAGTGAGATTCAGACAGCAGGAGGCATCTGGCTTCAGTAAGGATCAAGGTAGACTGGGAAAAAAAAAATCAAATGTGGCACAGCACAGTCCACATGGCAAGAGCAGAGCCCTGGAATGCCTCCCTGCTGCTCAGGTCCTTTAACAGTACACCTGGAGCAGAGGAGCCCCAGACGAGTCAGTCTCTGTGTCCTGGAAAGAGGAATCTCTGCTGGCTGGAGAGCCTTGGGGAGGAAAGAGAACAGACATTAGGGCAAGCACAGCCTGGCAGTGGGCAAGGAGCTGCCACAAAAGGCTTTGTGTACCATGAGGGAGGAGAAAGGCACACAAGCCATGGCAGGGAACAGCCCTGTCCCAGGACAGAGCTGCTGTGCAGGAGGAGACTTGTCCTTCTAGCCCTGGGCTGCTCTTTGGGAGATCAGAGCTGGGGGCAGCCTGCCACTCCTGCCTGCTTCCCTTCTGCACAGTTCCTTTTGCTCCAGTCTCACCCAGCTGTGACCTCTGGCAGTCACACCCCAAAAACAGCCCCAAACTTTGCCAAAGAGAGACTGGAAGCTCCCAGGTCAGGTCCTGTGTGAGGACAGGGATTGGCACTCCTGGGTTTCACCCTTTTCAGAAAGATCCACCAACCCAGGGAGTGTCTGAGCTCCATCACTCCCAAATCCCAGGAGCACTGAGGGGAGCCTGAGGAGGCTCAGCCTCTGAGGAGGATGAGGACATGGAGCAGGGGAGGCTCAGGGCCTCCCCAGGGGTGTTACCTGCACTGCTGTGCCTCCTCATGTTCCTGGCCATCACATCTGCTGGCGTCTCCTCCGAAATCTGCACGGCCAGCTCTGCAATGAGAACCAGGAGGAGCTGAGACAGTGAGGGATGATGGAAAGGGTGACTCAGCACCGAGGATCCTGGCAGGGAGCAGCCTCAGGGAACAGGAGAGGCTCTGATTCCTCCCATTGCTTCCTCCACTGTCCAGGCAGTCTGAGCTGGGTGTCCTTAAATGCCAGGAGCAGCTTCTGCTAATCTGGGAAGCACAACACCCACACAGTTCCTCTGCTACTTCTGGATATCTCCTTGCCCCCCACACTCGGCTTTTCAAGGTTTTTCTAGAACAAACTCTGCTAGTACCTGCTCTGGAGCTCAGACACGTGAGGCTGCTCCCACAAGGAGGAAGGAGCAGGAGGCTCTGGTGCTGAGAACAGCCCTTCCTGTGCAGGGAAATTCACTGTGTGGGGAAGGTCTGGGCTGGAGGACACACTGCCACTGCAGCCTAAGGCTGGCACCAGCCAGGCACACATGGGACACAGCCAGCTGAGTAACTGGACATCCTCTGGCACAAGCAGCTCGTCTGGTCCTACCAGTTCAGTTTGACTCATGGATTTTCTGCCTCCCTTAGATGAGCACAGGCAGCAGCAGCACAAACACATCTATTGCTCAGCACAAACCTCATGGGCAAGGAAAGACAGGCTGGAGGAAGCCACAGCACAGGGAGGGTGAGAAGCAGAGCTCTCCATGAGGACCCCACTCACACAGCAGGGGAACAAACCCCCCTGGGGACAGAGCAGCTTCCAGCCCCACATCTCCGTGCCCCTGACAACACAACCCTCCTGCAGCCCCCAGGGACCCCCCAGAGACCCCCCCGAGACCCCCGTACCGTCCTGGCTGATGACCATGGACTCCAGCATGGTCTCGTTGCCGCTGTCGGGGGCGTTGCCCCTGCTGCTCCTCTCCTCGTGGCTCGGGGTGCAGATGTGGGGCCGGACCCGGCTCTTGCGGGTGCTGATGCGGATGATGCCCCTCACCAGCCTGCACTCGGCGTCCTGCTCGTCCAGGTTGTAGTCCTGGGTGATGCTGTTGATGAGGTCCGAGATCTTGTTGGTCTTCTCCAGGAAGACGGTGTCCGAGGTGCACTTGGCCAGCTCGTCGATCTGGTGGACGCTGAAGAGCTCCGTGAGCTTCTTGAAGATGAGCACGTCGATCTGCCTGCTGGACATGGAGCCGTTCAGCTCGCTGATGTCCACGTCCGACTCGTGGAAGGAGTAATACTCCTCTGAGCTCCTGTGGCTGCTGGGCAGAGGGGGCTTCTCCATGCTGTTCCTGAAGGGCTTCTCCAGCAGCTCCTTGCAGCAGGAGTCAGACTCCAGGTGGTGGTTGGGGCTCCTGTTTGGATAGACAGGGATGCCCTTCAGCTTCACGTCTGGGTAGCTGAAACTGCTGCCCATGCTGGACTTTTTGATCTGGTTCCCGTTCTTCTCAGCGGGAGAGGTGTTGGTGGGGCTGTTGGGGAGTCTCCCGTTGTAGTCTCCGTTCTTCCCCTCATCCGTGGAGGTCTCAGCAGGCCCCGGGTAGGGAATGCAGACACTGCAGTCCTGGAAGCAGCCCCCACACGTCACTATGCAACAGAAAACAGCCTTGTACGTGTTCCAGGCCTGAGACAGGGAGGAGCAGCAGAGGCTCTGCTCCGGGGGAGCCTCGGCAGTGCCCGAGATGAAGGTGATGGTCTCTGCCTCCCGGCCGTTGGAGTCCTTGAGCTCGGCCTTGCGGCCCTTCCTGTCCCGCTGGGCGCGGCCGCCTTTGCTGTCGGGCGTGGAGCCACTGAGCACCTCCAGGCTGACATCGCTGTCCCCGGCTGCCCCAGCCCTGAGCGGCTCCTGGCACGGCTGTCCCCGCTGCCCAGCGCTGCCCAGCTCGGGGGGCAGGCGGCTCCTCCTGCCCAGCATGGCTCGGGCACCTGCAGCACAGGGAGGGCTCAGATCAGAGCAGTGCACCCAGCCCGGCCACAGAGTCCCCAGGGCAGCATTTCCACGGCCCACGGGGACATCTCACATCAGCACTCGCTCTGGTGGGTTTGGTTTGCCAATTTGAAGGTTTTTTTTTGTTGTGAGATAGGATTAGGAGGAAGGCAAAACAGGTTTAACTTTAAATGGTATAAAGAAAAGCTCTATTACTAGAAACTATTAGAAAAAATCCCAAACCTCAGAGTAAAACTTTTAGAATACTCCTCCTCCCCTCACACATTTCTTGTCTAGTACAAGAGAGACTGTCCAGATAAAAATTTCAGAAAATCTTTACAAACCACCACACTCATGCTGTTCTCCCTCAGAGCCCAGGCTCCAGGGCTCTCCCACCACCCAAGCCCTGCTGCTTCCTTCGGGCAGCTGCTCAGACAAGAAGGGAGATGCTTTACAGGGGCTATTTTCAGACATCAAAACCCCTGTACCCTTCAGAAGAGTTTCCTCCACGCAGCTGGAAGAGGAGGCAGCTCCAGAGCAATAAAGGAGCAGCACAGCTGGAGGTGGAGCCACTGAAGGGCTCCAAAGGGAAAGTATCTTTTTTTTACCAACTTCCCTTTGTCTTGCATTCCTCAGGATTAGGCTGGGCCCTGACAGCACTCATCCATTTCCAAACACATCGTGCCCAGGAGGAGATGACAAGCAATCCATCATTATGCAAGCTGCCAATTCCAGCTCCACGTTATTTGCTGCTATTTCAATTTGGAGGATTTAGCAATGACAGCATTACCAACACTAATGATTTTTGCCAGTCATGCTAAGGTCGGGTGATGTCAAATGATTCCCCATGAAAACCTGATGTCTTCATCTGGATTAAGGAAAGGATCTTGCCAAAAAGTGACAAGCATGTGAATGCTCCCTATTTTTAATCTTTTTGTTATTTTTGTTATTAAAGCTCAGCACGGGGCGATGTGAGGGAAGTCAGGTCAGGGCTGTCACTCCACTCCTACTGCTCTGCCTTTTTCCCAGGCTGTGGTGGGTCCCAAAATTCTCCATGGTTTCCAGGCTTCTTGGCTAACACTGCTTTCACCTCCAAGAGATCCTTTTAAATACTAATTAGGGTAATTAATAAGCAGTGAGAGCACAGCCATAGTTTAAGTGTTTTAGGGCTGTCCCTGTTGCTTTGCTATAGACTTTCTATAGGGCACCTCAAGCATGAATAAATAAATCTGCCAGACTTTGTTAGAGCCCTGCCTCTTTTTCCCTGGTTTTTAAACCAACAGTCACATTTTCCCCACAAAGGAACAGGCCCAGACTGAAAGCCAGGCAGTTACAGCACACCACTGCTTTCCAGGAATATTCTGGCACTGTTACCTTATGAAAATTCATCCCAGGAGCTCCCTTTGCACATTCCTGGGCAATATGCAAAATAAAAAGCCCCAGATGCTCCAATTTCAGTGCTGAGCAGGCAGAGCTCCCTCACCTCAGCATCACTGCAGAGTTTTGATTCTTTCACTTCAGAAAAAGTTGAGATTTTTCCCCTCAACTTCCTCATTTTTGTAATGTAGTTCAAAATTTAAAAACAGACTGAAAAAACCATGAAATTCAATGAAAACATTTGTCCTGAACTAGGAACTACTCACTGGGATGTTTCTTTTCACTCTAAGACTTCACTGAGAGACCAAGCATCTGCACTGGACAGCAACACTCCTTTATATAACAACAGACAATATTCTGAAATTTCAGAGCATCTGGGACAGAGAGAGGAGCGTTATCTCAGCTCTGAGGAAAAGAGCTGAGGCACAGGTGTCAGAGACACCTCTGGGCTCGCCCACTCCCATCACAGCTCACATTTCTGGGACCTCTGGATCACAAAAGTTCCTCAGGAGCACAGGCAGGACACAGCTCCTCGATCCAGCAGCTTCCCCAGGATAGGAACAGATTGAACCAAAAACCCTCAGCCAGAAATGAATGCTCAGACCAAAATGCACATCCCGGTGCTACTCACACGATGGCTGGGAGCTTCCTCTGCTCTCACACAGGCACTGGGAGTGACTGGAGATCCCTCTAGAGAGCCTCAGCATCTGCTCCAGAGCAGCCAGGAAGGATCCACAGAGGGTTTGCAGGACTCAGGGTTAGCCAGGGTCTAAGATCTTCATTGTTCAGAGGGAGAGATTTCCTTGGAAAGTTTAAAACAAGCCCAGTTAAGTTGTGAATCTCCTGAACAATGTCACATCCACTTGCCCATAACCACACTGCTGGTGTTGCTGGCAGCCAGGGAACATCTCCTAAGCTCAGGAGACAGGAGTCACACACTGACACAGCTTCTCTGAACTCTGTGGAAGCACCCACAGCTGGGAAGTGTCCTAAGGAGCCTGGCCAGGAGCTGGAAGTCGCCTGTTAAGCTCCTGTTGCCACCTGCTCTGCTGGCAGGGGCAGGGATGGAGGTGCTGACCCAGAGCAAATGTGGGTCCAGCATCCTCCCTGTGCATCCCTGGCATCCAGCAGCTTCTCTGGCTCCGCTTTTTGAGATATAAACAACCAAGGAACTGCCTCTTGCCAAACGCTCCCCTGTGCCCCAAACACCCACCCTGCTCCAACACGGGGCAGGCAAACAGAGTTTGACTCTCTTCCCTCCCAAATAAAAGGAAAGGAAAAGGAAAAGGGGAGATCCAGCTGGGCACCAAACAGAGCCCCCTCTGCCTACCTTGAGCCCCCACCATGTCCTCCAGACAGGGGATTTTTGGGGAAAGAAGCTGGCAGCAGGAACAGCAGGGAACAGAACCATCCCAGCCCGTCCTGCACAGGCTCCCACCGCGCCCCCTCCTCGTTTTCCAGCCCCGGGAACCAGAACCGAGCCCAGGGAGACCCGAAGGCCCCGGGAAAGCTCCGAGAGCCACCAGGGCCAGCGCGGGCAGAGCCCGGAGCACCGGGAAGGGGACACGGACACGGTGAGGGGACACGGACACGGACACGGTGAGGGGACACGGACACGGTGCGGGGACACGGACACGGTGAGGGGACACGGACACGGTGAGGGGACCCGGACACGGTGCGGGGACACGGACACGGGCGGTGGCGGGGCCGGGGTGTCCCCAGCCGGGGCTCACCGGGGTCCCTGTGCCGGGGGGGAAGGCACCGTGTCCGGGGCAGCCCGGGGGCCGAGGGGATCCCGGTGTGGGGGTGACGGACGTGCCCTCCCTCTCTCTCTCCCTCCCTCCCTCCCTGCCGGTCGCGGCCTGCGGCTGCCCCCGGGCCGGGCCGGGAAGCGCCGGCGGGGTCGGGGTGGGAGCCGGGCCCGGGGCTGATGGCGGGGCCGATGCCGGGGTCGGGGTCAGGGCCTGGGCCGGGTTAGGGTCGGGTCGGGCCCGGCCGGGCCGGGCTCTCGTTACCTGCCAGACGGGAGCGCGTCCGGCCCCGCCTCACCTGGGCCAGGTGCGCCACGTGACCCGGACGGGCCGCGCCGAGGGACAGCAGAGCGCGGCGGGCGAAGCCGCTCCTGCCACGGCGGGCACCGAGCGGGAACGGACCGGGACACACCCGGGAACGGAAAGGGACAGACCGGGGACAGACCCGGGAACAGACCCGGGACAGACCCGGGCATGGACCGGGAACAGATCCGAGAACAAACCCGGGAATGACCGGGAACAGATCCCTGACACAGATCCCGGCCACAAAACCTCTCCTGGCTCTGTCCCGTGGAGCCCGGCACTGCCAGGACGAGCTGAGCAGCGCAGCGTGGCCCTCTGAGCCCAGCACCGCTGGGCACTGAATTCTGCCCGTGCCCCATGGCCTGCCCGCTGAGCTGCCACCATGTCCCAAACCCCGCTCCATCCCTGGGTCCGGAATGGTGGCACAGGGAGCTGGGTCAGCCCAGGAGTCCTGGGGCTTAAACCTGAAATCCTGATGCAGGATTCCTTCCCTAAAACTGTGCCAGGATGAAAGAGCAGCGCCTGATAACTGGGACACCCGGGAAAAAACCAGGGGAGGGGCTGGGCGAGATGGCACCCACATTAATTATTGCTGCCGGTAATAAGGCTTCGCCTTTCTGGAGCACATCCCAGCGCGGGGCTTTGCAGAGATGAGGCCACTGCACATCCCTCGGCTCTGTCCTCCTGCATCCCTAATCCCGTGTCCCGGGGGAGTCCCGGGGTCTGCGCTGGCCGCAGGACGCAGAGCGGGGTCACATCCCGGTGTCCCCTCCCGGTGTCCCCTCCCGGTGTCCCCTCCCGGTGTCCCCTCCCGGTGCTCGGTGCCCCGGCAGAGGAGCACTCTCAGGGAATGGAGAACAAAAGGAGAACAAAGCTCTCACCGCGCCTTTGCATCACCGAGGTTTATTCTGAGCGCTGCTAATTGCAGCCTCCTCTGCTAAATCATTAATAGCTCCACAGCCCGAGCAGAAATCTTGCAGTGCCAGAGGGTTTTGGGGACTCAGGCTATGCCTTACCTCGGGCCAGGGGCATTTCTTGTCTTTTTCTACTATCGGCACCTACCAGCCCCTGCCTGCTCACTGCTGGGACGTGCTGGGACAGCCTGGAGACACGGGGGGCTCACCCTCACTGCCCAGTGTCCCCAGCTCACCTTCTTGTTTCTTAAACTCGTGTCCAGGCACAGCTGCTCCCCCTCTCCATGTCCTTTTCTCACCCTGGAGCAGGGACTGGAGCTGGGAAGGCGTCAAGCAGTGCAGACATGGGGGGTGACCCAAAAAAGCAATGATTTTCTGAGCAGGTAAGGACGGAGCAGGCGCCTCCTGAGCTCCCTCCAACCTCTGCAATTCCGCGGTTTCATTTTGGGGGAAAGGGGGAAGCTCAGGGCAGGACACACCCGGCCCTTTCCCTTTTTGGGGGTACCCTTGGGGGGCCGGGTTCCACCGAATCAGAGCAAAAAAAATGAGAGAGGAGGATGCTCTGTTTAATTCCTGCCTGTCCCCACAGATTTTTTGGGCTGGAGGCAGAGGAAGCATGAGAAGAGTTTTAACCCCACGGTGGAGCAGCACCCCTCAACTTCCACCGCCCATTTTAGAGCAGCGTTTGTATCAGACAGACGAAGATCTCTCAAACCGGACTTCAGCTTCCCCTCAGCCTGGGGAGCTTCAGGGAATGTTGGAGCCGTGCTCCGACCCCAACGGGGGCGGGGGGGATGCGGTGGCAGCCGGGGGAAGGGACGAGCCGGCAGCGGGGGCCGGAGCAGTGACGCAGCAGCCGCTGACGCTGCTCCGGTGCCTGGCAGACGTGTGGCAGCCTGGCAGGAGCAGGAATATGATGCAAAGCACAGGAGATGGGGTTTTTTTTCCTCCTAAGGTAAGGAAAGCAGAAATGTCACCAGCCCCGTGGGCGACATCCATTGAAGGCCTGGATGTGGCTCTGCCTTAAACAGATTTAAGCTCGGTTCTTGTTTTTGGCTTCGGCTTTTATTCCAGTCTGGGGGTGGGATGAAACCTTGACACCTGGTTTCTGTCATCTCTGCTGCTCCGATGTGAGACCCACGCAACCACACGAAGATGCCATTCCAAGAGGAGGAACCCCAAAAACCAGGCCCTGGGGCGAGCAAGGTGGCAGCGGCCCCTCCCCTGGCAGCCCCCTCCCCTGGCAGCCCCCTCCCCGCTTTATTAAAGCCGTGTCAGTGACAGTGACGTGGCAGCGACGCTGCTGTGACAGCCGCACATCCAAGGACACCCCTGAGCCCGGGACACCCCTGAGCCCGGGACACCCCGCACGGCCCCGCCCGGCCCAGCCCTTCCCAGTGACCCCAGTGACCTTCTCAGCTTGCCCTGGCTCCCACCCGCCCCTCCAAACGAGGGCAGTTTTCCAGCGCCACAAACGCCACCGGGGCGATGCCGTACCGAGCCCGGGATGCCATCAGTGCCGGCACCGGTACCGTACCGGGCCCGGTGTAGGATGGAGCCCATAGCGGTGCCGTACCGGGCCGTGCCGAGTGCAGTACCAGCCCATACCGAGCCCCGGGCTGTGCCATCCCGGTCGGGGCTCGCGTGTCTCCCACCCCCTTGCCCCGTGCCGGAGCCGCCCCCGTCGGGGCCGAGCCGCCGCCGCCAGCGCCGCCCCCGGGCTATAAATCCCCGCCGCATCCTCCGCCGCCGCTCCGCTCCCATGGCTGCAGCAGCGGCGGCACCGGCACCTCCCAGCCCCAGCCCCAGCGGCGGCGACGCGCAGCGCCCGTCCCGCGGCGGCCCCGGTGGTCCCGGTGGTCCCGGTGGTCCCGGTGACAGCAAGAGCGGCGGTCCCGGTGCGGTGGAGCTGGCGGCGGCGCGGCGGAGGCTCGTGGCGGCCGAGGGGCGGCGGCGGGCGGCGGCCGAGCTGGAGGGGCGGGTGCGGCAGGTTCACTGCGCTCTGCTGCACGCCGAGCTGCGCCTGGCAGCCCGTGCCGAGACCCTGGGCCGCCTCGGGGCCGGCGTGGCTCAGGCTCAGCTCGCCCTGGCGGCCCAGAGCCAGCGGCTGCAGAAGGGGCTGCGCCGCCGCCCGCGGCCCCGGCCCGGAGCGCTGCTGGCGGCCGCCCGTGCCCTCCGCAGCTGCGTGCCCTGGGCAACTGCGCGGAGCCGCGGGGCCACCGCGGGCACCCCCGTGCGCCGCCTGCCCGCTGCATCCCGCGGCTCCGCGTAGGGACAGCGGCGGGGCTGGGGGTGTCGGGGGGGCTGGAGGGGTCTGGGGTACTCGAGGGGGTTTGATGGGTGGGGACCCAGGGAGTTCTGAAAGTTGGGGACACTTTGGTGGGTCTGGGGGACCCTGCAGGATCTGGGGGACCTCGTGGTGGGGGGGATCCTTCAGAGGGTTTTGGGAAGCCTAAATGGTGGGGACACGGGAGCTTTGGGGAGCTACAGGGGTCTGGGGTACTTAAGGGGGTTTGATCCGTGGGGAGCCAGGGGGTTTGGGGGCTCTGAAAGTGGAGGGACACCTTGTGGGGCTCACTGATGGAACTGTGCTGTGGGGGGGACCCAGCAGGGCCTGGGGTCGTTCAGGGAGTCCTGGGGACTCTGATGGGATGGGGCCTGGTGGGTTTGGGGGTCCTGGGGTCGGGGGCATCTTGGTGAGTGTGAGGGGCTTCGGGGACCCTGCAGGATCTGGGGGCCCTCCTGGTGTGGGGTAACCCAATGGGGTCTGGGGGTTACAGTTGCATTCTGCAGAGTGTGAAGGGTCCAGGGGACCCTATGGGGTGGGGGTACCCAGCAGGGTCTGGGGAATCCGATGGGCTGGAACCCAATGGACTTGGGGGTCCCAGAGGGATCCTGCAGGGTGGGGGAGGTCTGAGGGGTCCAGTGGGATGGGACCCTGCGCGTTGGAAGGGCTTAAGCATCCTTGAGGGTGCCAGGGAGATCCTGCAGGGTCTCGGGGACTCCATGGGGTTGGGGTACCCAGCAGGGTCTGGGGATCCCACCAGCGGCCCAAGGGGTCTGATGTGGGGGAGACTTTGGGGTATTTGGGGTTCCATAAGCGACCCTGTGGTATTAGGGCACTCCAGGGGACTCAGCAGGGTCTGGAGACCTTGGGGTGCCCTGAGGAATTTGGTGGGGAGAGCGTCCCTGAGGGCTGTGGTGCCTGAAGGACCCTGCAGGGTCAGGGTCCAGGGTGTGCAGTGAACCGGGGGGACTGGAGGGACACAGTGAGGCTGGGGGACCCAGCAGGTTCTGGGAGCCTCCCTGGGGTTGGGAGACCCCTCGGAGTGTGGGATCCCTGGAGGATCTTGCCAGGTTTGGGGGTGTTTCCAGAGGAATCTGCTGCCAGCAGCCCCAGCCCGGTCTGGGGTCGCCTCCCTCCTGCAGGCAGCAGGTTCAGAGCAGCCGCTCTGGGGCAGGGCCCCTTCCCCGTCCGAGCCCCACGGCCCCAGGAGGGGACCCCAGCGCTTGGGGACACCGGTGGGACTGTGACACACGGGACAGCCCTGACGCGCCCCCTGCAAACCTCGGCAGAGCCGAGCGGGCTCGGGGCCACCGCGCCTGCAGCGTCCCTGGCCAGCGCTGGGGCTGCAGCCTGAGAGAGCGGGGACAGAGCGGGAGGGGACCGGGACTCGGGATCCGCTGGCACGGGGCACCGAGCACCGGGCACCGAGCACCGGGCACCGGGCACAATTCGGGACTGCTCTGACCACTGACCGAGCACGGACACGTGAAGGCTCCCGGTGCTTCCAGCGAGCGTCCTTGGGGACACCCAATGTCACCTGGCGACAGAGCCGGTCGCTGCGAGCTGGCAGAAGGCACGAGGAGACGGAGATGGGCTCGGGATGAAGGATCCCTGTCCGGGGATGAAGGATCCCTGTCCGAGATGAAGGGTCCCTGTCCGAGGATGAAGGATCCCTGTCGGGGATGAAGGATCCCTGTCCGGGGATGAAGGATCCCTGTCCGGGGATGAAGGATCCCTGTCCGAGATGAAGGATCCCTGTCCGGGATGAAGGATCCCTGTCCGGGGATGAAGGATCCCTGTCCGGGGATGAAGGATCCCTGTCCGGGGATGAAGGATCCCGGGATGAAGCTTCTCTCTCCGGACTGGAAGCCTGTGCACGGCCCTGGTGCCGCTGTCCCCATCGCTGTCCCAGCCCTGAGCCGGCCTCAGGACGCCTCGGAGCGGATGGACCCAGCCCGGTTTCCCCGGGAATTGCAGAGGCTCAGCTGCCAGGCCCCGCGGTCCCGCTGCCCCTCCGTGCCAGCCGCCACCCGAGGGTGCCCGAGCCGTGCCAAGCTCCGCAGTGGCGCTCCGCAGAAGCTGCATGAACCCCCCTGGAAAACCATAAGTTCTCCCGCTATTTATTTATCTATTTTAATTTTAAAAAACTAACAGCAAAAGACTGGGTTTGGGCTGGGGTGGGGGGGATTTCACTGACGTCCGAATGTGCCGCTGGTGTGACAGCAGGTCTGTTGTGTAACCCTGGCTGCGCTGCCCGCACCGCGCTGCCCGTGCTCTGGAATAAACTTTGATATCTATTTTATTCATTACGTGCGGCGTCCTGAGGCGCTGGTTGAAGTATAACCGGGAGGGTGATTAGAATGGGGATTAGCAAATAAGCCCCGGTAATGGCATGTAATTAATACCAGAGTGGATTTCTCTGATTATCGACCTCTTCCCTCCTCTGAGCGTGTGGGGAAATGTATGTTCAGATGTCACGATATACATACATATATATAAATATATTTATATATACCTGCAGACATGGGCTGTCCTGTAAAACTCACATAAGGTGACAAACAAGGCACAACTTGGGTGACAAGCGAGGCACAGCTTGCACACAAATACCTGCAGAAAACAGGTGACAGAGAAATATTTCAGCGCCCACCCTGCCTTTGCAGCCCCACGCTCGGGAGCTCTGCCGTTCCCCATTAATCCCAGTTTGCACACAGCTCTGCTTTTGTGCTGCCCCTGCAGAGCTCTGAATGCTCTGACACCTCTCGGGGCTCCCCAATTCCTGCCCTTTCACTCCCCCAGTGCCAGGGGAGTTTTTCCCGTGTGTAATCCCACAGGAAGGTGATTCCCGGAGCCAAGAGCAGAATTCGCTGCTAAGAGCAGCTTAGGGGTCTCAGCCAGGAGAAGAGACACATTATCTCTGCTGGCTTTCAATTAATAGTATGGAATGCACAGCTTGGGCTTAAATCCCTCGATTTTTTCCCCTTTCTCTGGTGATTATTTGCAAATCAGCTTTTGACCTGATTAGAGCAGAACCGACTTAGAGGAAATGCAGGGAAAGACCTGAAATTTATAATAAATCAACTCCATTAAACCAGAAAGACCAAAACCATTAAAAATCCCTCTGTGTGGTGGCTCCTCCCCACCCTCCAGTCTCAGTAAGGACACAGTCTCATCCCTCTTTGTATTCCTGGAGTATCTTCAGCTGGAACATGACATCCACAGCAATTCACACCCTTATTCCCATTTTCCTGCGGGATGGGGGAGGCTGATGCAGCCAGTGAGGGTTGGTGAGCCCAGGGCTCCTCACCACCCTGCCCAGAGCTGAACTGGGGGTCCCTGTCTGCCCCAGGGAACGCCAGGCTCGGGATTCCAGAGGATGGGGAGAGGCACATCCACATCCATCTCCGTGTCCCGGGATCTCCTGTCCCGCAGGAGGAGCAGCAAGGGCAGCACCAGGGAGGGCGGGGAGGGCAGCTCTGGCCAGGCCCGCGTTTTGGGCTGGAGCAGCAACTGCTGATGCTGGAGGAACAGGAATTAAAAGGAAAGAGAAGCTGGCCCGGAGTTCCATTCCACGGTGGGAGCAGCCAGCACATCCTGCATCTCCACGGGGAGGAATCTCCAGCTGACACCACCATCCCCGGGGGTCCTGGGCCCGTCTGGGGCTCAGGGCAGGGAGAGCAAACACGGAGCAGCTCCAGCACAGGGACGGGGCAGGAGAGACGCCCCGGTGGCTCCGGGACAGCCCCAGGCCAGGGAGCTCAGGGTTTACATAACCCCACTGCCAGCCCCGTTACATAAACAGCACCCACACTTGGGGGGGTTATGGGATTATTCTGTGACAGACTTTCTGGGAAAAAGAAAATTAATGTGGTATGTTAATACCTAAGCCTGGCTTCTCCCCTTTGGGCCGCTAATTCCTGCGGGCTGGGCCTGATGGAGTGAGCTGGTGTGAGGGGAGATGGGCACAGACAGCCACGGGCAGGAACAGAAACTGCCCGGGGCTGAAATGAGAGAGGGGGAAAGGCAGGGACAGCGGGAGGGCGATGGAGAGGGGACAGGGACAGGGGAGGGTGATGGAGAGGGGACAGGGATGGTGCAAAAGTGATGAAGGGCAGCAAAGGAATGGGGCGAGGGTGATGGAGAGGGTCGGACAGGGACGGTGCAAGAGTGGTGGGGAGAGGGACAGGGGATAGGGAGAGGACATAGGGACACGGGACAGGCACAGGAACAGGACAGGCACAGGGACAGGACAGGGACGGGACACAGGGACAGGACACAGGGACAGGCACAGGACAGGGACGGGACACAGGGACAGGACACAGGGACAGGCACAGGACAGGGACGGGACAGGGACGGGACACAGGGACAGCCCGGTGCTGTCACGAGAGGGCGCCGCGGGAGCCCCGGCGCGGCGGGACCGGCTCCGCTCCGGCTTTTCCTCCTTGAGAGGCGATGCCAGCCCCGAACAGCCCCGAGGGTGGGAATTGCCCCCCTGGCCTCGGATTTATCCCGTCCCGCAGCTGAGCCCGGGCTCCCCACGAGCCTTCTGCGGGGGCTGCAGGTCCCACACCGGGATTTTGGTCTCCTCCTGGTCCTTGAGCAGGGCAGTCGGCGTCCGGAGGGGTCTGCAGGGGCTGGGCTGTGACCTGGGAACACACCCGGCCCTATTTCCATCTTCCCACTCCCTCATCCCTGGGACGAGCAGCCTTGAGCTTCATCCCTGTTCGGGGGTGCTGAGAAATGCCCATAAATCCCGAGTTTTTGGTTCTGTCCCCCTGTGGCTGCCAGCTGGGGGACCCTGCCCAGGGCCTGAAGGTGGGCACGGTGTCCTCAGCACCTTATCACCCCCTGCCCAGAGCTCCGGGGGTCTCCGGGGGGATTCCAGGCCTCGGGACCCATCCCATGGCACCTGGGTGCTCTGTGCTCGCCTTACTGTGTTAAGCTCTTCTTGGTCCACTTCTCTCTTCCCCACTAAAGCTCTTTAAGTC